ACTAATCTCCTAAAATATTAAGTTCTTTAAGATTTGATGTTTGCGATTCATATTTGTCAAAGTCTGTTTATAATTTAATATGAATTTTAAATTGAATTAATTCATTCAGCACGTTAAAAGAAAATTAAAAGTGTTGATCCTTAAAGAATAACATATTCCTGACACATGACAGTGTAGGAACTGTGATTGCATATTGATCATGTACTGTTTTTGCCCTCCCTGTTTTTCAGATAATTGCATTTGATGAGCTGAAGACTGACTATAAGAATCCTATAGACCAATGTAACACGTTAAACCCGGTAAGTGAGAGGTTTTGGAGAGATGTCGTGTGATGCATGCACTCCTGTTTCTTCTCTTCTATCTCAACACTGTTCTGCTAATCGATGAAATCATCTGCAGTGAATGTTGCTTTCCAACACTTAACACTACTTTGGTTCGATTTTTCTGATTTGCATTTTGTCTTTTTTTTTTTTCTTAATATTTGCTTTTTTCTCTGATTGGCTCAAAGACAGTTGACAGGGTGAAAAAAATTAAAAGGGTCAGGCTTGCTCTGAAGGTTGGTACCAGAATTCAGCTTAAGATCAGTAACAGTCTCTCTGTGTGCACGAGTGGAGTGTTTACAAATGTCTTTTCAGTTAACTAACACCTCACAAATGTACAAACAAGCCAAGCAGAGAGACAGGACCTGGATTACGTCAACTAGACAGCTTGATATTAGAGGTTGTCTTTGTTGCAAACGACATCACATCTGCCGAATGAACAAAACCCAGATTGCTCATTTAGGGTTGCTCTTATTTTGCTCATGTTTGGCTGGTTTAGTCCGTTACTGTGGGTTTGGGCACAGGTACAGATGCCATCTGCACAGGTGTTTATTTGAGAGTAGGAAAGACAGCGGTTTACAGGGAAAAGTGTTAACTGAAAAGACTTGCAAATGCTCAGAACATGCATGTGCCGTTCTGTCCCTCCCTCCGTTTGCTCTTTACCCAGAGCGAATAACTCCATTTATGACGTCTCACTTAGAAAGTGTATTTCTAATATTGGCTCAGCTGTAAAACAATTGCACCATTAACATCATGCAGAAGAATTCATTATTTCAAGTGCACTCGTGTGATGGATGAGATTGATGAACGGGAGAAGAAGAGCGGGTGTAGTGAGTGCACATTAATTTAGAGTCAAGCAGTAGTATCCTTTAGAAAGGGGTATTTCTGGATGGATATGTCCGGATATTCTCAGAAGTAAATGCTTAATGAGTTTTGAGGCCATTTTACCTATTTATGTTCTTCATAATCGCCATTGATAGTTTGAATTAATTTTTTACAATGTGTTTGTGTTGGGCAAAAGCACACTTTCTCTCTATTTGCATGGGCTTCATGTGTTGTCTCTACATTTACCGGTTATGATCAGGCATGGCAGGGGCAGCCTGGGGTCCTTGTAGCTGCTCCCTCCCTCAGCATGGCTGCTGTTATCACTCTGCCTGGCAATGTATCCCTGTGGAAAAAACACGATCCTACCTCTGTTCCCAATATCTTTGTCTGTGAGCTGGGGGTTGGAGGTGTAGATAATGGTGACCTGTCTGTTTTTTTGCTGTAAATTGCTAATGGCCAGAAGTTCTATTTGCCTAATAAAAGAAAATCAGCACTCTATATTTAACTAAATCTAAAGCAGATGGGGTACAGTATGTGCTTTACAAACTTCGACAGCTTTAGGATACAATAGATGCCCTGTTACAGAGTTTATTGAGCAGAGATCCTCTTGATGGTTTGAATTTTGAACTTAATAATGTCATAAATTCTTAAATGGATCAAAGGTCCTTGTTCTAAATTTTAGAATTCTTGACATTTTTGTATTTTTCAATCTCTGCCCAGTAATTTAAGGTCACTGGTTTGATTTTACATTTAAAATTGTTTTAATTAATCATATGCTTTAAAAGAATTGTTTACCCAGAAATGAAAATTTGCTTTAGATGCGCTTACCTCTGGCCATGGATGATGTAGATGAGTTTGTTTCTTCATCAGAGCAGATTTATACAACATGTATGTTCATTAGAAAAAATTGAGAAATTTCGCATTACATCACTTGCTCACCAGTGGATCCTCTACAGTGAATGGGTGCCGTCAGAATGAGAGTCCAAACAGCTGATAAAAACAGCATCATAATCCACTAGTAATTCAGCAATTAATGTTAAAAAAAAGCTGTGTGTTTGAAATAAATCTATTACTTACTGGATTATTGTGATGTTTTTATCAGCTGTTTAGACTCTCATTCTGACGGCACCCATTCACTGCAGAGGATCCATTTGTGAGCAAGTGATGTAATGCTAAATTTCTCAAAATTTCTTCTAATGAACATACATGTTGTATAACCTAAGGGTGAGCAGATTTTCATTTTTGGGTGAATTATTCCTTTAAATGATAATTTATTAATTTTAAATGACAATTATTCTCCGCAGATCCTGCTCTTTTGAGGTTTAGAGAGATTTAGATGTACTTAAGCAGATCAGTAAGTACTGGAGCTTATGGGATGGGGTTAATATGAATGATTCTTACACCTGATTGGCTAGACTTGGGGCACAGGCTTCAGGTGCAATAGAACTCTAGTCTCTGAGATGGATCTGTGTATTTGTGTTGTCTTCCGAGTTCTGACCATGTATTATTTGGCTTCCTCAGCTCGTCTTGCCGGAGTACCTCATCCATGTGTTCTTCTGCGTAATGTTCCTGTGCGCCGCAGAATGGCTGACGCTTGGACTCAACATGCCTCTGCTGGCCTATCACGTCTGGAGGTGGGTGGGGCCCTCAGCCCTAAATGAATCGCAGAGAAACCCACATTTCGTATTTATTGGCTATATATCAAACACCTCAGCAAATGTGTCAAGCTAGTTTCTCTAAAGTTAATAAGTGATTAGTCAACATTGTTCTTGCTCAAAGTGCAACATCAAGTGTTTGTTTGTGTGCAGGTATATGAGCCGCCCTGTGATGAGTGGACCTGGATTGTATGACCCCACTACAATAATGAACGCAGATATTCTGGCATACTGTCAGAAGGAGGGATGGTGCAAACTTGCATTCTACCTCCTCTCATTCTTCTACTATCTTTACGGGTATGTAGAGTTTAAAAATACCATTTTTGAATATTTAAATGTTATTTTTAATATACACTTTCATTCAAAAGTTAGGAGTCAGTATTTTTTTCCTCTAAGAAATTAACACACTTATTCATCTATCTATCTATCTATCGTTCGTGTTGTTTCATCAGAAACCCTATAGCTTATGTTTCTCTCTGGTGTTTCTATTATAGGATGATCTATGTTTTGGTGAGCTCCTAAACTGGATGCAGCTGGAAAGCATATAAGGAAGCGTTTGAGATGCTGATTTTAAAACCCAAATGGAGCTGAATTTGGACTCGGCCATCTCTCTCAGTTCTGCTCGGCTGTTTCAAAAGGACATTGACTTTACTTACACCTCTTTGGCCAAGAACGATCCAGGACGCAAGCAGCCTGCACAACTCCAGAACCACACATGCAAAAATAAATGATTACCAACTCTTCAGTACAACCTGTTTAGACTTACATACACATGCCGCACCAATGCCAAAGCACTTCACACACTGAAAGCATCAGCAGATGAGCTGAAACCGTTTACATTGACCAGATCGTGTCCAAAGCAGAGGCACAAGGGCTTCAACACTATACCACTGATGGAAATGTGCAAAGATTTTACTCTTGTGTTTTCAAACTGTGGGACAAAATAAAGATCTTGACTGTCATTTTTACAGACTTTTTATCTTAAATATATTACTGCCTTGTAGCTCAGTCAGTTCTTTAATTTGTCCTTCAGAGTCGTGTGCTGCTTTGGTGGTTCATGATCTTGTAAGTCCGTGTTTTTGAGCTCATGCTGGTGGTCTGCTTCATGTTGATGGTTCTTATCAGATGAGTGTTAAAACCACTGTTTACTGTCTTTTTGGTAGGAAATGAGAACTGATGCTTTCAGTGTGTTGAAGGCTTTACTTCGCTCATACACCCTGGAAATACTCCTACTTGTAACTTTTTTTTTTTTGCTTTTAAATTTATTATTGTGTGCATTTTGTATTTCTAAGTGTAATTGTTTTCAGATTTTGTTTTACTTCCATTATGTTTTTGTGAGTTAGAGATGAGTGTGGACACTATTTTGAATATTTTGGTTTGATGTTGGCATGATCTCAGTGTGCCAAGATGCCATTTTCTTTTAGCCTGTCAGTAACCACAAACAGAGGCCTCTGTCCTGAGGTGATGCTGTAGAGTTTGTATCTGGATTCAGAGCAGAGCTGTGTGGAAGGATTCTTTACCACACTGATAGCTGTTCATAATCACCAAGCTGGACCACCAAGGTTATATTCAGAGTAATAAGTTATTTTTGATTTTGTATTTTGAGTTTCCCTGTGATTTTAGATTTTTTTTCTGTTTGCTTCCCCCCCGTGTGTGTGAACCCAGCATTATGTGCATTTGAGTGTTATAAAGTCTTGCAAGAGGTATAGTAAATTGTGTTTGTTTTTTTCTTTTCTTTTTGGCTTGTAATATTGCTTAAAGTTCCCAATAAAGCCTCCCATAGACAAATTATGACAAATGGTCATTTTATGATGCCATTTTGTATTAACTTAAGTTTATTCCATTTGGCTAAAGTAATTATGGTAAAATGGGTTTGGTTTAAACTGAAAGAATAGGACAGTAATTTTTTTTTATATAATCACTTAAGAATGATAATATTGCTAATTTTGTGACATGTAATGCTTATAATAGTTAAACAAAAGAAAAAAAACTTTCAGCTTTGTTAGTCATTTCAACTTAAAAAAATTAAAAGATTGACTGCATACATTTTAAGTTAAGAAATATTTTCTCAATGATAAAAATGACTTTTATAAAACTGATATTATAAAACCGTGATGCTGCTTTTGCATAAAGCTCCTTATTTTTCCCATAAAAGTGGGCCATTTGTAAATTTTATGGGTCTGGCTTCAGGTCTCATCTGCGTCCAGCTATTTTTAGCTGTACAAAACAGCTTGTTTTGTTGCTTGACATTGCAGATTGGTGTGTCTTAGCATATTATTGTAATGCGTTATCTTAACACACTGGTTTGTACTACAAACAGTTTCACCGTTTACTGCACGCTGTTGAACCGGAAGTCTCGCCCATAGGCTTACTTCTGGATATTAGTCATAGTTTATCAAAAAGTATTATCATGTGGCAAATATGAAGTATATGAAAAAATATTTTTCATCATTCACGACAGCATTTGAGCTGTTTTGATTGTATGACTATTTGTGTTTCTCTGTTTAAATTAAAGGTTTGGTTCATGTTACCTTGGTTCACTTCATAGGTAACGTAATTGTTGCAAACTTTATAAATTTCCTTACTAATGACCACTTTGAAAAGAAAATTCCCAGGAATGATTGCCAACAGCTGCATAATAACTTAATCCACCATCCAAATCACCGGTACTCACATAAGCAATATATGGTTTCCCAGACACAAAAATAAACATTTCTCTCAATTTGATCGACTGGGCAGGATTAATGCAGACAATGCACGATATAATGCAGACATTACGTGTTTAGGCGCTAACCGATTTCTAAGAAACTGTCTGAAATCGACAAAAATTCATGAACACACCATGCAACACATACAACTATAACAGATGGTTTATCAAGACAGTGTCTGCCGAAACGGATGTTTTCATCATAGCTGTAATAGCCAGTTATGAAATGCTTTTTGTAATAGCCAAGCACCAGCAGCGCTATAGATAATATTGCAACAGCATGTCTTGGTTTTGTGAAATATAGTAAAACCAATGTTACTCGTGTACCGAGAGAAAACATAGCAACCTCGGCGCCGAAAGCTTTCCCCATATTAACGCAGGTCCTAGAGTTTGCCTGATTGTAAGCCTTCTTTTAATTATATTCTTGTGACATTTTTCTCTTGGGAATGCATCAGCCATCTCTCTTTCTACAGTCTAGACAAATCTCCAGCTTGCTCAGGCTCTCTCCTCCCCATCATGAGCGTAAACGCCCCTATTGCTGATTGGCTACAAGAGTGTTATGGTGCTCGGTCTGATCCACGTTTCTCCCTTGTTTACACAGCCAGGACTATACACAAACAATCTGTTTCAACATACATATAAAAAACAGATAGAAAATATTCACAAAATTGTTTGTTTGGGTGTTGATTACAATTTTCAACAGCGTGTCTCAGAAATCACTTGCTGCACCTTTAAGACTCACTTACTGAACAAGACCCATTTAATTGCAAAGTTAAAGTTATATATTAAGCACAATATTATTAGATTGACTTAAAAATACAGAATTTTTAAAGTGCCATCAGAAAAGAAACAAATGCATTCATAATCAAAGTAGAAAAAAATCCACAGAGCAAAAACACCAATCAAAGTAATTTGTCTTTTTTTCTGCTTTTACATCATCTGGATGTCAGGTTGATCATCGGGACACTGATCTCTCTGAAAGTCGCTCTTTGGTTTCTTGATATGCTTCAAACTTCTCCCGAAACTCATGAAGGAAGTTGTATTGCTATAGGAGACAAATGAGAAAGCATCATTAATAGGTTAGCTGTACGGTTAGGGGAAGTGATGCATTTAGGTTTCTGGATGCCTCTTACCTTGACGGTCTGAATGGCTCCACCTCCTCTCAGCTCCCTCAGGATCTCCAGAGCAGCACTGGGTGTCATGGAGACAGAGAGCTGCAGCAGCAAACATGCAGCAACTGTGACAATGAAGCACAAGTTAAACTCCTAATCACACATACGGGACTAACATTAATCATAACACTGAACCCTGTTTGAGCATTTGATACTTACTTAACCCTGAGCGTCCCAGGCCTCCATAACAACTGTGGGGGAATAAAAACACTGATGTTTATCTAATTTTAATAAGTATATATATACAGTATATATACAGTTATGTATATTTAGGTTTATGCAAGTCTCTTATGCATACCAAGGCTGCATTTATTTGATACAGTAAAAATATAGTATTTTTAAAATAAAATGTATCCCTGTAACAGCAAAGCTGAATTTTTAGCACATGATCCTTCAGAAATCATTCTAATAGGCTGATTTGGTGCTCAAGAAACATTTATCTTTATAATGAATGTTGAAACAGTTGCATTTGTTGTTTATTTTGATTATTATAAAGTTACAGAAAATGTCTGTCACTTTTGACATTAATTCAATGCATCCTTGTTGAAAAGTATGTCTTTTAAACAATAATATTCAATAATACTAATACAAGTTGTCCTAAAACTTTAAAATATAGTTCAATTTAAAATATTATATCTATATATATATATATATATATATATATATACACACTGTAAAAAATGGTTCCTGC